GGGCAGAGTTAATTTCCAATTATAATTTACCTGTGAATAACAACTTCTGGAAAATTCCCATTGTTTGTAATGTAGAAAAATGCCTGTATGAAGTGTTGGGGGAATTCTCAAGAATAGGACAGAATCCAGTCCCGAAGCACAACTTCAGGATCCCTCTCAAGAAAACCTTCCTTTATATTCTTACCAAATTATGACCACCATTGGCAACGGTCCACTGAATGTCTTGTTGGCAAAAAGCCACAAGTGTTATTTCCTCCGTCTCTGGGTCTCTAATTTGTTTGTGGCCTTAAAATTACTTTCAGAACCTTGCATTGTTTCCTCATTTGAATAAGGAGCTGAACTAAAGGAGAAGTCGTAAAAGAGATGTGGCCTCACCAATTAGCATTTTTTCTCAGTTTCAGCCTATTTGACTAGAAAACTTTCTCAACTAGAAAACATTCTGTGCTTGGTAGCTATCCGCCAAAGCAGGTGAGGTGTTCAGGTGTCCTTTTCTTTTCTTCCTCAAAGCTTTGTTTGCATTTTCACAACTCCTTGTACCTTATACATGTGTGGTAGCCACAAAAACAAGGTCGCTGAGGCAAAAAGGAGATCAGGCATCTGCCCCAAAGTGTCCATTAGCTAATACCCTGTGTTGAGGGCGCCTGGGTGGCTCAGATGGTTAATTAAGCGTCTGCCTTCGGCTCAGGTCGTGATCCCAGGGTCCCAGGATCGAGTCCCGCATCGGGCTCCCGGCTCAGCGGGGAGCCTGCTTCTCCCTCTGACCCTCTCCCCTCTCATGCTGTTTCTCTCTCGCTCGCTCTCTAAAAAAAATAAATAAATAAAATCTTTAAAAATAACAATAATAATAATACCCTGTGTTGAAATGCCGCCCACATGGAAGAAAAGTTCACCATTCTCAAATGAACTTGTTTCACTCTTTGGAAGAGCACAAATCAGCCAACAGAGATCATGAAGTGAGTGTTAAAGGGACTCAAGCCAGGTCCTGGTTTCAGTGGAAGCTCAGGGGTTGGGGGGAAAAAAAAAAACGTTTGAATGTATACGCACTCTTTGACAAGTGTTATTGGGTAGAACAATAAGTACAAATCATTAGCAGCTACTCTGGTGAGAATAGGAAAAACACCTCCTAGGAATGTTTTGGACCAGGGTAGCATGATAGAGAAGTCCAGCTTTCTGAGGATAAATGATAAAGCCATTATCTGTTTTTACTAGTTATGGGCTAATGTCCATTCACATCAATGACAAAAATGGAAAGGGGGAAAAGAGTAAATACAAGGGCGACAAGCTCAAAGCACATCAGTATTTCGTTTGGATGTTCTTTACTTGGTTGGTTACTCTAATTATAGCTACAGAAGCACCATCCTGAAAAGTATTAAGCACCTATAGTGAAGGTTTGGGCTATATGATACCCGTTTAAGATTCTTTAACGGGAGGAGTCCCTATCCTCTGGAAATTGCTAGTTATCCAGCAACAAACAATGTAGTGTTACCGTTATACCCAGCTATGGAGGCCTGCCAGAATATGAAGTATTATTAGATTACCATGGAAGCATTAGGGAAGTTATCTATCCCCATTAAATAGTAAGTGGGCTAGCAGGAAGTCATTATTTATCTTGACAATGATTGAACCTTTACCAAAGAGATGGCAGAACCGAAAGGCAGCCTGAGTCCATTTAAATTGCCCAATTTGTTAAAGAAAATCTTACCTTATTTTAAGCTAAATGGAAAAAAATCATGATACATTCAACTATAAATGATACATTTCGATTTCTCAGTTGGAAGAGGTAAGAGTTAATGCTTCCTTAGATGACTCCCTCTTACAGAAGAAGCTTAAGCTTAATTCTGAATTAACCTAAAGGGTTACAGACTTGAATTTCACCACAGTAGAAGATTTATAAAGTATACAATAAGCAACTTATTTGTATTATAGCACATGACTCAGATATAGCCTAGACAATTAATTGATGTTTACCTACCTGCTTAAGCAAAATTTTGGTAGTTTTGGCCCATATACAGTATGTAGCTATGTGACCATAAGAAACTAATGTCATCCAGCACCCCACCCCATCCCCCCTTCCCTCTTCTGTAGAATGAGAAAATTGGGCTCCATCTCTCTAAGGTCTCTTGCAATTCTCAGATTCTCTGTGTCTATATTGATTGACTTGGTTGCCCTAGCTATGGAACTGAAGGTTGGTAAAGATAATCTTTAGAAAACACATGGAAAAGAGAAGGGTCTGTGCCAGGCACTTAATAGTGCATTAGGACTAATTCTCATTCTGTAGCTGAAGAAATGTAGAGGAAGACATCCTGAGGGAAGATTTTTGTATTTTTTTGGTTCTTCAAGGCACATTATTTTTCCCGTAATGGCTAGAATGATAGGGTCGTATACAGACATCCATTTAATTTGGTGTGTAATTGCAAGTAATACAACTAATCTAACCGTAACCAAAATCCAAATTAGATTGAATGAGCAAGAGAGAGAATGATAGATAATTTAAGGAAAAGCTTAAGGGGGCATATATAGTTCATTTGTCCCAAAAATATGATAGTTGAAACATGAAGGCATGGAGATTCCTCTTGGTCCAGTCACAGTTAAACAATGTGCCACACAGTTACACAATGACCATGCAATTCAGGAGGAGGGCTTGTGGAATTCTTACATGCCTATAAGATAACACATCAGGTACACCCTTTTTCCTCCTGAAAGTTTACCACAGGAGAACAGGGAGATCTGAGGCTTAACCTCTAAGCCTGTTTGCTTATCCGTAAAATGAAGATAATGCTCTACCTACATTAGGGGTGATTAGGAAGATCAAAGGAGAAAGCTCTTTAGCACTATGTGTGCCCGCCCACAGGACTCACTCCCTAAATCATACCATGAATATTGTCACTCATCGTTACCTTTATAATTTAGAAAAGAATAATAAAATTGTTTAAAAAATTTAGAAAAGAATATATACTATTTCATATTACTATTGCTTTACCAACTGATAGAATTTGCTTTTTAGCGAGTCCTTGCTTAGATGCGTGTAAATGCAGATGGTAATTAGGACTCAATTTAGTGATATACACTTGCTAAATTCATATATAACATATATATGAGTATACTTACATATGCTCATTCACATTCATATTCATATTTATTCTATACACATATTTACAGCCAAAAGTACTTTCTTCTTGAAATGTTTAATAAAGTTTCCATAAAATTGTCTCACGTTTCCACCTCTCTTTGAAGTATAGAAATTCCCTGTTTCTTTATGGAGGAAGAAAATGGATCATGTTTTTTCCAAATATTTCATTCTTTAGTAATTCATATGTTAACTGGGAAAGTACAACTATTCATTCACTCAGTTAATGTTTGCTGAGCACCTAAGTATATAGGTGCATAATTATTTTTCCCTATCAGAAAATTTGATATGACAAGACCATGGTCATCCAACAAATATTTATCAAGTAGTGACTATGTGCCCAGGTCTTATGTTTCAAAAAGAATCTGCAAACCTCAGTTGGAAGTGGTTTATTCCATCTTTTTGGGTTGGTTTCTGGAATTACCACTTTATTGGGTGGTGTTCACCAAGTAGATCACATGCATTCACTGAAGTAGGTGTGTTGCTTGTGTAAATAATTAGATTCCTCCTTAGTCAGCAATACATACCAGCGGTATCAGTAATTAGGGAGAAAAACAGGAGGCATTTTGCAAAAAATGCTCATTAGGTTAATTCATTTTGCTTTTTGTATTATGCTTGTAACTTACTTTTCAACAATTTCCCTTTGAATCTCATTGAGTGGGGAATATCCATTTTAAGAGATACTGCTTTTTTAGGAAGTTCGTTCAGGTGCTTAAATTATTTACAAGGCCTCTGTTACTTTCTTTGGAATCATAGTTCTATAGAATCTTGTGGGTTTTATTTTTGTTCTTACTGGCATTATCAATACCACTGTTTACTTCTTGGTACAGTAATAAACCAGCAGGACCTAGAGATTCTAATTCATATTGCTTGTACATTTCTGCCTAAGAGTTCCACCTAAGCCTGATAAAAAGAGAGAATAATGAGCCCCTGTATTCCTTCGTCTTTTGTTAATCCAGTTTCCTCTCTCTACCGTGAGTATTGTTTTGGTTTTGTTTGTTTCTTAGGATATTTTAAAGCAAATCCAAGACATGTAATTTCACCCATAAATATTAAGTACATACTTTTAAAATTATGACTAACACTTTCTGATTTTTATTAAAAATGTCTTTTCCCAATTGGTTTGCTCAAATAAAGACCCCCCCCTCCCCCAAGTCTACCTATTACCTTTGACTGTAGTTTCTCAAGTCGCTTCTTAATCTAGAAGAGTCCCACATTTGGATTCCAACTCCTGACTTACTGAAGAAATAAGTTCAGTTGTCCTACAGAAGGTCCCACAGTTTATATTTCCCAAGAATAGGTAGTAAAATCAGATTTTGATTAGGTTCAAGTTCAAGCTCTAAGGCAAGTATATTTTAGGTAGTTCTATGTTCTTCCTATTGTATTGTATGATGTCTACCAGTTATCCCTATTATTAATGATAATATTGAAACTTAATACCTGCTCCTTTGGTGGAGAAGATTTCAGGAATCCATATTGGGGGTGCCCTAAGTCAAGTGCTCTAAGTAGCTTGGTTTTAGTGTTTTAATTCCCTGAGTGAAAATTTTCTTTTTGTAACTTAATGTTATGTTGTCAAAATTTTTAAAGTCATGGAGCCCAAAAACAACATAGATCTATTCTGACATGTGTTGGTTAATCTAGAATGACCTAATTTGTCAAGGGAGGTTTCCATGGAATGCCATGTCACCAAAAAGACATTTAAACATTCTCTCTTCAGTGAAGGGGCACATTCCCAAGAATATGCTTTCAGCACTACAAAGAGGGACTGGTATAAAAAATTACAAATAATTATTAAATATAAATTTCTGATGAATAAAAATAAATTGCTTAAAGATTTTTATTTCCTAAGATATTGGGTTTTTGTTTGTTGCAGGAAGAAATCTTTCCTGTTTTCTGCTCTGTATGCTGCCTTTATCTTTGGTGGTCGGCACCTGATGAACAAACGGGCAAAGTTTGAACTGAGAAAACCATTAGTGCTCTGGTCTCTGACCCTTGCAGTCTTCAGGTAGGTTTTTCTTCATTTTCCCAATGCAGTCCATCCATTTCATCAGACTTGGCTGAAAGAAGCAATGCTTGAGCACTTTATAGCACGTATTTTGGATTGTTCAATACATCGGGGATAAAATAAAGCCATGTCCAGAGAGTGGGCCTTCATTGCAACCAACTTGCCATATGATACTCAGTCTCTTATTTTCAGGCTATCTCCTTTCTTGTCCAAACTGCTCATGCAGTGATCCAGTTTATCTTGTAGGCCTAGAAGCAATGTGTCAGTTCCATTACTGTTGTTGCTTAAATATAGCCGAAGGGCTAAATGCAAAGCCACACTGGTAAACTATTGATCAATGGCAGAGTAGGGTTTAAATGTGCTGGGTATGCTGTTACTGACTAATATGTTATCAAAAAATGGCACTCAGACACATGACTGGATACTGGACACCTATCTCTGTCAGTATTACTAGACCAGAGAATGCTGTTAGCTCTGCATCCCCAAAGGCACCATTCACCCCCAGTGCCTGGAGCTGACTTGCTGGCTTATGTTTATGCAACCAGTTCTTACTTCGTACTGGCTAGAACTCATCATAGAGGCTGTCAGGACCAGGCCCATCTCTCCAGAGGCACCTGGCAGCCAACATTCAGACACATTCCTGGAAGCTTGAAGGAGCTTTTCTAGCTTTGTAATATTTGATGATCTAGGCCATCACAAGATTAATTAGCACACAGCCGGTATCCATGCAAGTGCCAGAAAATACTTTCAACACTAACAAAGGCACCTGCTCTATTTGTGTTCTGCTGGTCAAAACCCACGAGTTTGTAACTAGGCTTGGGGTAAGGGGGAGTGGAGGAAGTAGATGTCGATATCCTACAAATAAGTAACTATTTTAATATTTATGAATATTCATTTTTGTTTTTTCATACTACATATTAACTGTTCCACTAAGCAGAAATAGAGGGTATCATTAAAACCCTCATTAGTCACTTAAGGCTTTTTAAAAAGAATCAGGCAGGAAGAGAATGTTCATAAACTCTGACGATCTGCACATTTCCATTATGTCAGATCCCTGCGTCCAAACACTCATTTGCGTGCCACCACTGGCTATCCTCTAATTCGGTGCATTTTGTAAGTTCAACATTTGAAGTACTCATGATTTGGACCTGTCACTAAAAAATTCTTCAATTTTAATCTGAATCAGGACATGATTCTCTGTAATACAAAGTAGCATTTTCATTTTCGTTCACATCTAAGGTTCACAGAGCCTGCCTCTACTAAAGTATTTTGGTATTTGAGGAAAAAGTTATCTTTTTTTTTTTTAAGATTTTATTTATTTAGTTTAGAGAGAGCGAGCATGAGCACAGGGCTGGGGGGAGGAGCAGAGGGAGAAGGACAAGCAGACACACCCCGCTGAGCGCAGTGTGTGACACGGGGCTCAATCGATTCCACAACCCTGAGATCGTGACCTGAGCCGAAATCAAGAGTCAGGAGCTAACCAACTGAGCCACCCAGGTGTCCCAAGGAAAAAGTTAATCTTTATCCTAATGATGCCTTTCAGCATTTTACGGAGTTTTCAACAAAAGCCTTTATCTTTTGTTTTTTTTAAAACTTGAACACTTATGAGCAGAGAAGAGTACAAGGAGTGCCCCTGTGCACCAGTTACCCTGCTTAAAGAATTATTACCAAATGGGTTAATCTTCTTTCATCTACCAACTTTCCTCTTTCCCCCAAATTCTTTGGAAATAATACAAACTTAGCTATTTTTGAATGAAATGATACCACTTCTAAAAGTTAAGTACTCATTTTAAACACCGGCCAGAGTATTATGATCACTTAAATTAGTAATAATCTTTTATCCTTCAGTGTTCAGATTTTCCCAGTTGTCTCATGAAATTTTTTTTCAATTTATTTTTAAGAATCTGGATCAGAGTAAGATCCATACATTTCCATTGGTTGGTTTCTCTTAACTTACAGTTTTCTACTTTCCTCTCTCCTCAGCCCTCCCCAACTCCCAACTCCCCATCCATCCTTCAAACAAAGCACACATTTGCCCCTCACAGTTTCCCCAGACTTGCTGATCTTGCTGATTGCATTCTGCTGTCCCCTGTATTCCTTATTAGTTGGTAGTTAGATCTAGAAGTTTGATTATATTTAGTTTTCACATCCGACAAGAAGAAATTTACCTTTATCAACTATTCAGTTATCCTAAAGTATATACAGTTATAGCAAAGCAGGATAAGTGCTTGATTCTTTTGCCATATTTCTCATTTTCCAAAAGAGAACTTAATTTGATTACGTGGCATGTAAATAATAATGTTTCTTTTTCCTTAGGTATCATTATGAACTCATGGATTTAGACTTTATGTGTCATTGATTTTTAGACGAATTTGATTTATGTATGTTTTTGTTCATTGCTATTATTCTTTTTGATGCTGAATTATCCATCTTTGGCCAGTGTGAGTCTCTTCAAGTTGGCTCCTGAATCCTTTCACATGCACTGATAGTGCTCATAGCTTGATTTTTTTTTTTTTTTTTTTTTTGCAGGGGAGCAGGGATGACAAGATATTCCAGGCCAGGCATATTGCATATTCCTTACCCAGAACTGGGATGAGCCATTTCTCCAAGGAACCCTAGCTCCTTTGGGGGAGGGGCGATAGTATTTACAAACCACTGAGTTCTGGGGGTGTTGTTGTGGCTAAGGTAGTTCTTATTTCTAGGCCTTTCAGAGGCTAGAAACAGATTTTTTTTTCAAGAGTTGGCTTTGATACTTGCAATTCATATTTGCTAGTAGAGAGTATTTTACTTATATGTTCTTACATCTCCTTCCTCTCGTGCCAAAATCCAAGTTCCCAAAAGAATATATGTTTGAATGGCTTTTACCTTACTATAATTCACAAATTTTCAAGTCCATCTGCCAATAGGGCCCAACAGAGAAGTTCAAAAATTCCTTGCTCGGTAGACATTCTTGCATTCAATGGCCTGCTTCTGTTCGACTTCCCCCCTCTTCACCACTATAGGGTAAGATATGATCTATTTGGAAAAAGAAGGAAAGAGAAAGAGAACCAAAATTTTGAGTTAGAGGATTTAAAAATGCAGGGAAGGGAGGAACAGCTAATTTTTTTTTTTTTGAAAATCATTGAAAATGTGATTTTGTGTGTGTGTATGTGTCTGTATTTTGCTGCTTAGGGATAATTTCAAGCTTGCCCATTAGCCTTTTGTAGTAGCCAGAGACTCATTTGCAGATGCCAGACACTGTGTTTATTCATGAACGAAGACAACTGAGATAAGAATTAATTTGGATATGCCGAGTACTTAAGCAAAAATAAAACCCTGTCTTCATACCAATCTACTTCAGAAGGTAGTGTGGGGTTTAATCTAGTTTGGCAAGAATTGCCAATAGAATATTTTTCTTCTTTCTCTTTACTTTTGGATATTGACTGAATATATGATAGTCGCCTTCAAACGAGCCATATACCATTTAATTTATTGAAAGCTGTCCTCTAAGTTTGGATGGAGTCAGTAGAATATGATCACGACTGAGTTTCCACCAGGCCTGCAATGTATTCATTTTATTTGAGAATGATTTCTCCAAGTTTTCCTGGCAGTTTCTCCCCGTCACCCGGCACCTGCCCCACCCTTTTCAGATTCAAACCATCAGCGTCTGGCGTCACTGAGTCCTTAGGAATATGACTGGGATGATGACACAGTGCCCTACCTACATCCCACCTGACCTAAGGACAAGCATTTCTTTATTTGATGAGCTAATTCTGTGTGGCATTTGGCCCTAGATATTTGAACCTTTCCTTAGGATAAATACTGAGAAAAATTCTGGTACTTTGAATGAGTAAATCCTTTAGATGAGATTGTTTCTCCCAGCAAAAATCATCGAACACTTCAAGGTGCCTCTGATCCATTCTTCTTCAACATCGCTGAGTCATTAAATTATGTTGCTATGGTATCTTGGCTGGGTTACTACAGTTGATTTGTAAAGCATTTTCTATGTATTTATTTAATAACTCCAAATCCTTCTAGATGGGGGAGAGATGTGCATGCTTCTGACCCAAGCAGCCTTCATCCGGTATCTGTGGGGCAGTGTTTTCTTGTCTTTGGTAGCATTAGAAGTTTCAAGGAGCCTTCCTGGTCCCCGACTTAGAACAGTTCAAAGCAGGGGGCCTAGTCAGTGTACATCAGAGTAAGATGTGCTGCAGATTTTTAGATGCCAGTATCACACTTGCTCCAGATTTGCTGACTCACGTTTCCTGGTGATTCACTCTGGCCTCGACTGTGTTAGGCTTTATTTGCACAAAGCCAAATGTTCTGGGGCGCCTGGGTGGCTCAGTCGTTAAGCGTCCGCCTTCGGCTCAGGTCACGATCCCAGAGTCCTGGGATCGAGCCCCGCATCGGGCTCCCTGCTGCGCGGGGAGCCTGCTTCTCCCTCTTCCACTCCCCCTGCTTGTGTTCCCTCTCTCGTTCTCTCTCTCTCTCTGTCAAATAAATAAAATCTTAAAAAAAAAAAAAATGACCAACCAAAAATAATCACTTTAAAAAAAAAAAAGTCAAATGTTCCGTGCTTTGCAGTTTGACTTCTCACCTTGTTATTAACTGGCCATTTTTCCCATTGAAACTCATTTTTATTTCCTGGCTGTATTTTTACTTTGTCATTTAATTTCAGTGTTGGCTTAAGTATAAAATATATTCAAGCTTAATAAAAAGATATATATATTCTTTGTCTTTCTTTAGTGAGATTTCCAGGAACAAAGTGTTTAAAGACAGCACCAGAAACATTTAGAAAAGTATGTTTAACAGTGCAGAGCGGCAGATGAATGGCGTTTAATTAAATCTATTTGTGATTTTTTTTACACACACATCAGTGTTGAATATCTAGAGAATTATTAGCAACAGTCTTATTATTGTTAAGGCAACAAATACATAGTAAAACCAACTGAAACTATTCAGATGACAAAATATGACATCTAAAAAACTTGTTGAAGGGGAAATACATCCCTGACCTGTAT